GTGTCTGGGTTACCTCACTCAGGATGATATTTTCTAGTTCCATCCATTTGCCTGCAAATTTCATGCTGTCATTGTTTTTCTCTGCTGAGTAGTACTCCATTGTGTATATGTACCACATTTTCTTAATCCATTCTTCAGTTGACAGGCATCTAGGCTGTTTCCAGGTTCTGGCTATTACAAATAATGCTGCTATGAACATAGCTGAGCATGTATCTTTGTGGCATGACTGAGCATTCCTTGGGTATATGCCCAAGAGTGATATGGGTGGATCTTGAGGTAGATCAATTCCCAGTTTTCTGAGAAACCAACATACTGATTTCCACAGTGGTTGTACAAGTTTGCACTCCCACCAACAGTGGAGGAGTGTTCCCCTTGCTCCACATCCTCTCCAACATAGTCATTAGTGTTTTTGATCATAGTCATTCTCACAGGTGGTATCTCAGAGTCATTTTGAATTGCATTTCTCTAATGATTAAGGATGTTGAGCATTTCCTTAAATGTCTTTCAGACATTTGAGATTCTTCTTTTGAGAATTCTCTGTTTAGCTCTGTAGCCCATTTATTAATTGGATTGTTCAGTATCTTGATGTCTAGTTTCTTGAGTTCTTTATATACTTTGGAGATCAGTCCTCTGTCAGATGTGGGGTTGGTGAAGATCTTTTCCCATTCTGTAGGCTGTCTTTTTGATTTGATAAACTTAAATGGGGTGAACAGACAGGAAGTCACTGTGTTTGTAAGTGGTGGTCAGGGAAGAGGGCTTGCCTTTAAGGAGGGACCTGAGGATAAGGTGGAGACAGCAGGTGCAAAGGCACTGGGGTGGAGCTGGGCTTGGTGGCTCTCGAATGTAATCTCTGTGAGTGAGAGGGTGAAGCATGAGGACTGCTGTGAGTTCAGGGACAGCCTGGGCTACACAGAGAGACTGTTTTTTAAAAAAGTGCTGAGGTGAGAGCATGTTTGGTGTGTTTAAAATTAGGGAGGGAAGCTGGCCTAGCTCTTATGGGTCTTCACAGCCATTTTAAAAGTTTTTTGGGCCGGGCGGTGGTGGCGCACGCCTTTAATCCCAGCACTCGGGAGGCAGAGGCAGGTGGATCTCTGTGAGTTCGAGGCCAGCCTGGTCTCCAAAGCGAATTCCAGGAAAGGCGCAAAGCTACACAGAGAAACCCTGTCTTGAAAAAACCAAAAAAGAAAAAAAAAAGAAAAAAAAAAGTTTTTTGGGGCCTGTGAAATGGCTCAGCAGATAAAGTGCCTACCACCAAGCCAGACTAGAATCGCATCCCCAGAACCCACATAATGGAAGGAGAGAACTGACTCCTGAAAGTTGTCCTCTGACCTCCACACGTCCTTCCCCAAAAAATAATGCAATAAAAAATTTCAAGGACTTTGGCATTTATTTTAAGTGTCAGACAGTACTGACTCCACCATTATTAGCTACATATCTCCAGCCAAGCTATTTAACTCCTCCAGGTCTCAGTTTACCTACCTGTAAAGTGAGGTTCATGTTAATTTATTCATTGTGATAAGCAGCTTCTAAAATGATTCCTAATAATTGTGTGTGTTCACACCTTGTGAATATGAGCTGGACTTAGTGGTTCACTTCTAATACAACAAAGACTGGCTTGCCCACTTTCTACCGATGCTGTAGCAAACTGCCACAGGTGTGATGGTTTAAAATAATGCAGTCTAATCTCCAGCTTCGGGAACCACTCATTTAATTGGGTCTTCCTGAGCTACAATCAAGGATCCAGAGGGTTCCTCCCTCCCTCCATTCCTTCCTTCCATTTGCTTCCTTCCCCTTTTCCTTCTCTCCTTTTCAAACCCAGGACCTTGAACATCCTGGGCACACACCCTACCCATGACCTGTGTCTCCAGATGTGTGGCTTTGTTCCTTCCGGAAGCTCCAGGGAAGAATCTGTTTCCTTAGCTTGTCCATCTGATCTAGAGGCTGCTTGCATACCTTAGCTCAAGGTCCCTTCCTCCATTTTCCAAGTGCATCACTCCAACGCCCTTTCCCACCACCACACCTGTCACTGACTCTGATTCCCCTGGGCTTCCTCTTCCCCTTAGAAGGATCCTCACGACAACACTGAGCTCACCTATGCAGTCCAGAACACCCTTCCAATCTCACACTCCTTCAAAAGCAACCCACCCCCCTTGCCATGGAAGCCCACTTTACAAGTTGCGGCAATTATGTCAGGCACTTCTTTGAGGGAGAGGGTGTGGTGGAAATTAAGTCTGCCACTGTTGTAGAATATTATTTTCAGGTGTGTTACTTTTGTTTATGTTGCATTTGTTTAACCCTGAAGCTGTGTTACTGTGCCTGTCTAAAATACCTGATGGTCTAATAAAGAGCTGAATGGCCAATGATGATGCAGGAGTGAGAAATGGGCAGGGCTGGCAGGCAGAGATGATAAAAAGAGGAGAAATCTGGGAGGAAGAAAAAAGAACCAGTGAAGGAGGAGGACTCCAAGGGCCAGCCATCCAGCTATATAGCAAGCCACAGAATAGGAGTAAGATTTACAGAAGTAAGAGAATGGGAAAAGTCCAGAGAAAAAAGGTAGGTGGGATAATTTAAGGAAAGCTGGCAAGAAACAAGCCAAGCTAAGGCTGGACATTTATAACTAAGAATAAGTCTCTGTGTGTGATTTATTTGGGAGCTGGGTGGTGGGTTCCCCAAAAAGGAGTAAAAACAATAACATGCCACAGACAGGTACACTGCATTTGTAAATAGGCAATGAAAAGACAGTGGACTTTCTCTTGGGTGTTCTGTCTAACTTACCATTTTGGGGAAAGCTGTGACAAGAGGCAGCCATGGGGAGTGATCCATTTGGCTAAGAACTGATGTTTCCCACCAATGGCCAGTCACACACTCGACTGCCATCATGAGTAAACTCCGAAGTGGCTTCTGCACCCAGCCCTGGACAACAGCTGGATCTCAGCCTCAGGGATGGACTTGAGAGTGACCACACAGCTATGCAGCCCCCAGATTCCAGACCCTCAGAAATGGTGTGAGAGGAATTACCTGTAGCTGATGTTGCTAAGCTTGGGGTCATCTGTAATGGAATAATGGACAATTACCTTCATCGAGCATATATGTATTAAGTGACAGTGCTGGTTTGAAAGAAAATGGTCCCCAAAGGGAGTGGCACTATTAGGAGTTGTGGCCTTGTTAGGGAAGTGTGTCACTGTGGGGGTGGACTTTGAGGCTCTTTTGCTCATTTCCCTCAGTGTGACTTTCAGTTGACTTCCTGTTCCCTGAAAGATGTAGCACTCTCAGCTCTGGTACATCTGCTCGTATCCTGCCATGCTCCCCGCCATGGTGGTAATGGACTGAACATCTGAAATTGTAAGTGGGCCAACCCGACTTAATGTTTTCTTTATAAGAGTTGTCCATGGTGTCCCTTTGTGGCAACAGTAACCTTAACTAAGACAGTAACTATAACATGTGGTGAGTTTTATTTGATGTGTTGGAGAGGTAGCAGTGAATGGAGCTGAGAAAAATCCTTGTTCTTACAGAATTTACCAGAGGAGACGGATGGAAAACGCAGTAAATGGGTAATATAACATGTCAGAAGGTGGCAATATTTTCTAATTTTTTTTTTTTCTGTTTTGAGACAAGGACTGTGTTACCTTGGCTGGCCTTGAACTCACAGAGATCCTCCTCTCTATTCCTCCTAAGTGCTGAATTAAAGGTGAACGCCACCATGCTTGGTAAAGGTGACAATTTTTCTGAAGTAGAAATGTTGATGGAGGAATCAGCAGAGGCGGGCTTTGCTGGAAAGCTGGTATCTAAACAAAGACTTGAAGGTGAGGGCGGAAACCATCTTTGGGGGAGAATATTCCAGGTATAGAGAGCACCAAGTGCTAAGGACCTATGGAGTGTGCCTCGACTTGTTTTCTCTTTTGGGGTGGTGAAGATTTGTGGCACTCTTTATTGCTGTGTGCTGGGTCTCTTCCTCTCTGGCGTAGGACGGTAGGATGGGAGCTGCCGAGGGCGGCTCATCTCCTGAGGGTAGGTGAAGTTCCAGTATCATTTATAGGAGGGAAGAAAGATAAGAAAAAAATGAACTAAAATAAAATCCCGGAGGACGCTGGACAAAGCTCAGCTCTTGCTGTTGGACTCTCCGACTCTCCAGGAGACTCCAGAGCCCTCAGCAGTGCGCCTGCGCCCCCTGGTGGTCATCAGGAAGGCGCACTTAGCTGCCGTTGGGAGTGGGTAAGCCGCTCCCAGAAAGGTCTTCGGCCCGCACCTCCAAAGTTGTACCCTGTTCACTTGAGGTCCACACGTTTATTTAGGGTTTTTGTTTGCTCGTTTGTTTCGTTTGGGCCAAGCTGTCATATAGGTTTGCCTCAAGCTCACTACCTTAACCTCAGCAGCCCTGGAATTACAGGTGTGTTCCACCATGCTTGACCTAGGCCTGGGCACTTTAAAATGCACTTTTATGTTGGAGGTGCAGTGCTAAGTACTTTACAGGTACCCTCACTTAATCCTCTTGACAAGCCCTGTTGGGTGGGGCTGTGGCAGCTCCCATTTTACAGGAAGGGTGGGAGGAGCTAGCACAGCCAATGTCTTCTAACTCCAGGCCCACCTGTTTCTGAAAGGACAAAACCATGGCAAGAAGCATCTGAAAGTGCTGACCACAGCACATGTCATGCAACTGTTAGCTCCATGTGGGCTATTAATATGCCCACTTAACAGTAGGGGAAACTGAGGTACAGAGAACTTAGGGATTTGCCTCAGATCATACAGAGAGCCAAGAGTACCAAACAAGAACTAGAAACACTGGGGGCTGAAGAGATGGATCTGCAGTATTAACTTCCAGTGGATGGAGATCCCACTCCAAGCACCACATAACTGTCTGTAATTCTATAAGAGAGTGACCCGATGCCCTCTTCTGGCCTGTGTGGGCACCAGGGGCACACATGGGGCACAGACACATGTACAGACAACGCACCCATACAAATTTTTAAAAAGACAATAAAAGAGAAGCGGGAAAGCACTGGCAGCCTTGAACTTGTCCATTTGTTCTGTTCGTCAATGCTAAGTGTACACCTAGGAGGTGCTGAACCCTGTATGAGGTCAGGCATGCAGCAGAGAAAGAAAGAAAGCAGTGATGCTATTAACATGTAAGACACACAATGAGAGAACCTCATCTATTCACAAAATGAATCCCTGAAAGTAAGATCTTTAAGGAGTATGGCATGGTTCAAGATCAGCCCCAAAGAGATGTAAATGTGAACAGGTGACCCCTTCCAGGAAAGGAGGGAGACACCTTAAGTAAACACAAACATTTTCCCGTGAGACTCAGCAGCTGTAGCATACTGGTAAGTCCTGATTTAAGGCTTGGCTGAATAAACCACTTTCAAGGAAAGCAAGGGTGCTGCGTTCTCCTGAGATATTTAGAGAGGAGTAGCTTTGGGGAAGTGTACTGAAATCCCTATATGTGAAGAGGAGTCTGGCAACTTGGTATGACTTTGAGGGGATGCCTAGCAACAGTCACCTGCTGCCAGCTCTTCTTGCTCCAAACCTCTGGCCTGGCTGTGCAGCAGACTCCCAGGAGTGGCCATGCATGGCACTTGATCCCAGACACCACACTGGCCAGGCTGTTCCCTCTTACACAGGTTGTTAGGAAGCCCCAGGCTTGAGCCCTGCAGACCACTGTGGGAGAAGCGGTTACCCAGGAGGCCATGTGGTGTGGTCTTCAAGGATGACCCTGCTGTGCTGTGGCTGAGACTGTATTCACTGTATCCACTGTGGCGGAGCTCCATCACACACTTCCTCCCCCAACATACACTATTTTTTCAGCTTCTATAGGTAAATCAGCTTTTGATTACTAATGCCTGAGATAACCAACTTCAAGGGAGAAAAGCTTATTTCTGCTCTCGGTTTCAGAGGTTTTAGTCTATGCTTCCTGTTCTGTTGCTTTGGGCCTGTGGCATCACCGTGCATCATGACAGGTGCATGTCACAGAGGACTGATGGTCACTAGGAAGAGCTAGGAAGGGCTTGGGTCCCTCCAAAGGTATACTCCTAATGCTCCATTTCCTTCATTAAGCCCTGCTACCTAAAAGTTCCAGCACCTTCCAATACTGCCCCAGGCCTTCAATGCAGAGGCCTTTATGAGGCAATAAATAGTCACATTATAGCAATAGCCAAATGAGATACAAAAGAAAGAAGCATAGAGAAATGAACTTAAGGTTTTCATTCTCTCAATAATTATCCTTATTATTTGAACTACATCCTCCATGAAACATTGTCTGGATGTGTTTGAAGAAAGGATATAACTGGAAAAACTGAGTAAGAGTTTGAATAAACTAAAGGAGGTGATAGATTAGAAAAACAGTAGTGCCCTGAGACAGTTTTTTTTTTTTTTTTTGGTATAGTATTTCAAGACAAGGTTTCTCTGTGTAGTCCCGAGTGACCTGGAACTCACTTTGTAATCCAGGCTGGCCTTGAACTCAGAGATCCAACTGCCTCTACCTCCCGAGTGCTGGGATTAAAGCGTGTGCCACCATGCCTGGCCTGACAGTAGTTACTTTTCAATTAATAATTACTATTATTTATTTTGTTAAATTTCTCACTCTAGCCTAGGCTAACGTGGAAGTCATTTGTCACCTGGGATGGCCTCTAGCTCATATTCTCCCACCTCAGTCTCCGGAGTAGTGGGACTCCAGGTATGAACTCAGTGGTGTTTTTCATTAGTTTCAGCTAACAGAGTAATGTTGACAGGGTTTCATGTAGCCTAGGCAGGCTTTGAGCTCAGTGTGTAGCCAAGGTTGACCTTGGGCTCCTCATCCTCCCATTTCTACCCCCAAGTGCTGGGATTACAGGTGTATCACAACTCCCAGACTCAAAGGGTTGCAGTTTATTTATTTGAGTTTTAAGTGTATGAGTGTTTTGCTTGCATGTGTGTCTGTGCGCCACTTGCATGCATGGTGTCCACAAGGCTGAAGGAGTCAGATTCCTTCCCCTGGAACTGGAGTTACACCATATGTGTGCCAGGAATAAAACCTGGGTCCTCTGCGAGAGCAGCCACACTTTTAACTGCTAAGCCATCTCTCCAGGCCAACTAAGAGGATTTTTGATGACCTAGGCTTGTGACTCTTGGACCAGCAATATTACTATCACCTAGGAACTTTTTAAAAGGTTGTGTGTGTGCACGTGTGTGCTCATGGAAGCCAGAAGAAAGTGTCGGATTTTTGTGGTTGTAAGCTCTCCTACATGAGTGCTTAGAACCAAACTTAGGTCTTCTGGAAGAGCAGCAAGTGTTCTTAACCATGGAGCCATCTTTCCAGCCCTTTTGGGAACTTTATTAAACTATAAATCTCACCAGGCATGGTGGGCCGTAACCTCAGCAGTGACAGGGTGGAGGCAGGAAAATAAGTAGTTCAAGGCCATCCTAAACTACATTGTAAGTTTGAGACTAGCCTGAGTTACATAGGACCCTGTCTCCAAAAAAAGGTAGGGGGTGGGGCAGGGAAGACTGATCAATTGGAAAAGTACTTGCCATGCAAGCATGAGGCCTGATACGGATGCTCCAAACAGAGCTGGAGAGCTGAGCATGGCGGCACACACTGTATGTCCACTGCCGGGGAGGCTGGTACAGGAGGATCCTGGGGCTGACGCAGTCGGCTGAGCTGAATTAGTGAGTTCAATGAGACCCTGTACTGGCTGGTTGTGTGTCAACTTGACACAAGCTAGTCATCAGAGGAAGGAGCCTCAGTTGAGGAAATGCCTCCATGAGGTCCAGCTGTAAGGCATTTTCTCAACTAGTGATCAATGGGGGAGGGCCCAGCCCATGGTGGGTGGTGCCATCCCTGAGCCGTTGGTCCTGGGCTCTGTAAGGTGAGCTGAGCAAGCCATGGAAAGCAGGCCAGTAAGCAGCACCCCGCCATGGCCTCCAGGATCCTGGCCTGTTTTGAGTTCCTGTCCTGACTTCCTTCAGTGATGAGTAGCAATGCTGAAGTGTAAGCCTAATGAACCCTTTCCTCCCCAGCTTGCTGCTTGGTCGTGGTGTTCACTGCAGTAATAGGAACCTAAGAAGGACTCTGTCTTTAAAAAAAAAAAAAAGAGGCAGAGTGCCAGAGAGATGGCTCAATGGGTAACGGCGCTGCTACCAACCCTGACAATCTTAAATTGCATCCCCGGGACCCACACATAGGGGTTCGTAGAGAGCGGACTCCACAAGTTGTGGCATGTGAGCACTCAACACATCCACAGACCTGTCACCACTTCATCTCTACTTGTCACTGTGTTCCTCTGCCCCATAAGGACAGAGTTAGATGCAGCTCCTCAAATACAACATGGCTCTGGAGATGTCCCTAAGACTATACCTTTAGGCCAGGTGGTGGTAGCACATACCTTTAATCCCAGCACTTGGGAGGCAGAGGCAGGAGAATCTCTGTGAGTTTGAGGACAGCTTGATCTACAGAGCGAGTTCCAGGTCAGCCAAGGCTACACAGAGAAACCCTGTCATGGAAAAACAAAACAAAACTATACTTTTAGATGCTAAAAGCTATGCTTTTAGAGCTAGACAGTCCTGGGGTTAAATGATGAACCTGCCATGGACAGTACTCCAGGCAGTGATCTATGTAGATCTTCATAGCAATAGAACAGTAATGAAGACAGTGGGCAAAGAGCTTCCCCAGCACCTCTATCCAGCTGTGAGGATTAAACAAAACAGCAGAACAAGACTTAGGTCTTTCATGCAGTAACACTAATACATGGTAGTGATTTAATATCTTACCTGGCTGTGAACGAAGAACAGAGCAGTTAGCCCCTCTTTCTTGATGTGCTATCCTTTAATTTCAGTTAAGCTCTGAAAACGGATGACAAATGGACTCCCAGAAGGCTACTTATTGAAAGAACACAATGATATTAACAGGTATGCATGTCCTGTAGCCCCGAAAGGCCGGGTATTCATAAGTGCACGGTGTGTGACTGCTGGTGCTAGGAGAGCCCTCTGTTCAATTAACCACAAATGTATCCTGGATTTCCTTCCTGTCAATGGAGAGGTGCTGAAACTCAGTCATGGTTGGATAAAGGCCAGATTCCCTCCACATACCAACCAGCACTGTCTTTCTGGTCTTTTGGAACTGCTTTTTATAAACTTCAGTAACATTGGGCAACACTCAATTATTTATAATCCATGTTATTTCTTTAAACAGTCGCACATAAAGATCCCCCCAAATCAGTAGAAAGTTCCTGACAGGAGTCCTAACTGTTGAATAGGAGAGAATCTGAACAGAATTACCCACTGTCAAACTCTATCAGACAGCACCAGCATGGTCTTGACATTAACCGCTAAGCATGGAGCCATACACAAGATTTCTTTGAATGGCTACCAGCTTGGATGTGCCTATCAGCAAAGGAATGTCTTATTCATTTTGATTCACGGGTAATAGACTTATTGGGAGACACATCACATTTCAGCTCCCATGAATATTTATCCCTGTAAAAAAAAAAAAAAGTACGATGAATTCTTGAAAGCTACCTCATACCATACAGAATAAGAAATGTTAATGGATCTTGTCATCCAGTATGCAAAAAAGCTAAAGGAAAGTTTCACCAATTAGCCCCACTCACAACAATTAACATACCTCCCTGAAACTTATCATCAGGACTTGGAGGACTTAGGTATAATGTGAAAGGGATCAGTGTTTGTTGGGAGGCCCCAATTGTCAGAGGTGGCAGTCTACCATAGCTTAGCAGCTCCCCCAGGCTTGGCACAATATGGAGGACTCCCTACCAGTGGGGGCTTCCTGCTCTCTACCTAGCCTTATCTGGAGGATGTCTTTAGGCCTGGATGCCTGACTTATCTCAAAGATGACACAGTTCCCTGCAAATACTCTCCCTTGCTGCCATGGTAATTAAGTAACATGCTCTAGCTATTTTCATAGGGAAATGCTGCCACTAATCCAGCTATATGATAGGAGTGTGCCGCCTTATGTAAATTAGGTGATATCCCAGCTTGTCCCCATCCTTTATGTCTCCCCTCACTCTGGAGTAAAGTTGAGCTATCTCATTGAAGTCATGTCCTGGAAGGCTGTTTCTGCCGTGTTCACGGACCATCCAAAGCTCTGTCACCACTTCTACTCCTTTGTTCTTGTGCACTGGTGTCCAATGGACCTCGAGGAAAAAGGGAACCCCACAAATGTTCAGTTATTCCAAATTCATCTGCACTGCTGTTAAATGAACCAAAAAAAGGTTCTGGAAATTCCTTCAGGATAGCTAATTAGAAATACCAAGGAAGCGTATCTCATGGTTTGCTAACAGAAGAGAACAGAGCTAACGTGGTTTTTGAAATGGCAGTATACTTTCTTTGCACACAAAAAGGACCAAAAAATGCTGTTTCTGTAAATGGAATCAAAGAGAAAGTTCATGGCTGTGGCTAATTAGGTTTATACTTCTCTATAGTAAATTAACTTGGCAAAAAGAGAAAAAAGGAAAAGACAGGGACAGTGACAGAGGGGTGGGGTGGGAGGTAGTGGAGAGGAAGGTTTGATGTCATACTTTTTCAAGCAGTGCCATGAAAAGCACAATGAAATGACACCAGCTGAAGGTGTAATTATAGCTGAGAAGGGTGTGCATGTGACCAGTCCATTTTCAGTTTCTGCTAATCTTTTGCTTTGTCTTACATCTGTGGTAAATTTGCATATTCTTTGTTGCCTATTATGTCTTAAGGCACTCCAAAATGTCCAACCCGTGGGAGTTGACAAAACGTTTGGATATCTATTTTAACATTTTTACTTTAAAGCCCTCTGAATTTCAAAATACCTTTCCATAGCAATGGGATGAGGCCCAGGAACCAGGAAACCAGCATTTCCCATTCCTCTTTGCTATTACAAGTTCTATCCTACTGTGCAACCAAGTTCAGCTTTCATTCCTCTCCCTCTGTCCAGTGAAGTGGTTGGGATAGCTGTTTTACTTCGAGTGGTGAATTCTTGGAAACAAACTGATTTCCACAGTTTCAAGCTTCACGTAAGCGTTTCAGTCATGTGAAACTGTAAAGTAATATTTAAAATGAGTTTGGGCCATACTATGAGTTTCCTTTAAGGTTGTCAACAGTAGAATTTACATACCAAGCTGTCAAAACTTGGTGATTTCAGACACACATAGTCAAAAGCCTTAGCAAGATCGTATTATTTCTAAATGGCTACATGTGTAGTTTTACAGGAAGCCTGTAATCAAATACAAAAGAGCGGCTTTTATTTGTTTAAAAATCCAATGGCACAGTTTCTTCCATATGCAGCATACAGAAACATAGTTATATTCTCAGACTTTCAGAATCCTGACACTGGATTGGAACAGTATTTTAGACAAAGCTTCCTATCCATTCCACAATTTTAGGTTTCCTACGGTTTATTTCGTGTATGAATTCTCTGGTGTTTAGTAAGAGCTGTGCTCCTACTGAAGTTTTTCCCACATTCCTTACAAGCATAGGGTTTTTCTCCCGTATGAATTCTCTGATGATCATGCAGGTTGGTTTTCTTCCTAAAGGCACGCCCACATTCACTACATTCATAGGGTTTCTCTCCAGTGTGAGTTCTTTCATGCTGAATGAGGGATGAACTCTGACTGAAGGCTTTTCCACAGTCAACACATTCATAGGGTTTCTCTCCAGTGTGGGTCCTCTCATGTTGGGTAAGTGACGAGCGTCGACTGAAGGCTTCTCCACATTCATTACATTCATAGGGTTTTTCTCCAGTATGAATTCTATGATGCTCTATAAAACTTGTACTTCTTTTAAAAGCTTTTCCACATACATTACACAGATAGGGTTTTTCTCGAGGATGAGATACAGACTGCTGACTAAAGGCCTGTTCAGAGTCATAGGAATTCTCTCCAGCATGGATCCTCTGATGGTCAGTGAAGTCTGTAATGTGACTGAAGTCTTCCCCACAGTCATTACAATGGTATGATTTTACTTCAGTAAGTGCACTTTCACCTTGAATAAGAGATGTGTCAGGCTCGAAAGCCATGCTGAAGTTAGTAATTTGGTAAGGTTTGCCTCTTTTATGAATCCTCATATGCTTATACAGGGATGGGCTCTGACCAAAAGCCCTCCCACATATGCTACATTCAAAAGGTTTCTCTCCAGTATGAGTCCTCTCATGTTGGACAAGGGAAGAACACCTACTGAAGGCTTTCCCACACTCCTTACATTGGAAGGGTTTCTCTCCACTATGTGTGACCTCATGTTGAGTGAGGGATGTGCCATGTCTGAATGCCCTCCCGCAGAGATTACATCGATAGGGCTTTTCCCCAGTGTGAATTCTCTGGTGTTGAACAAGAGAGGAGCTACGCTGGAAGGCTTTCCCACAGAGACTGCACTGGTAGGGTTTCTCTCCTGTGTGTGCGTTTTCATGCTGACCTAGGGATGAGCTGTGCCTGAAGGCCTTTCCACACACATTACACTCAAAGGGCTTTTCCCCAGTGTGAATTCTCTGATGTTCAGTAAGCTGTGTTTTCCAGAGGAAGGTTTTCCCACAATCAGTACATTCATGATGTTTCCTTCCAGAATAAACTCCTTGGTCTGCACCATTGGGACAAGCATCATCTTTATGAATTTTTTCATGTTTATTAAGTGATGATCTGTGAATAAATGCTTTCCTACATTTATCACATTTATAAGGCTTCTTTTTTGCAAGGATACTACTCCGAGTACCTAATTCTGAGTTATATTCCAAGTTATTTCCAAGTGTTTCACATTCAGTGGGCCTTATACTTGAAGGAATGTCTAGTTGTGGAACCAAGTCTGTGCTCAATCTAGAGTCTTCATCAAATTTATTTTGCTCAACATTTTTCCCTAGAGTGGTTATTTTTTTCTGGGAAGATGCCTCTGGCCCCAGATGTCTCCGCCAACTTTCCTGGTGCCTCTGGATATTGTCATCCCAGATATCTCCTAATGTGGCATGTGACAGAATATTTGTACTGTGGGATACTTCAGATTTGCCCTGCTGAAGACTCGATGACTTGGTGTCAGGCTTGGTCTTCCAGTCTAAAAGAAATATAAAGTGGAAAAGTTCCCAAATTCCTTCCAGTTCAAACAAAATGCTACAGTACAGAGGAGAAAAATGAGATAGAAATTATGCATGACTATTCTGGAATTGATCCTTTGGTCTGTGCAGAAGTCTTAAACTGCAGGAAGGAAAGAGAGGTGCCAGTGACTATTTCAGATCCAGAGTGTCTGTCACATCCAGAGAATGAGGAGAGCCCATGTAAGTGGGTGAGTTTGACAGGAAACAAAATAATAAAGGAGCCTAAGTGTGTGAGGTTCGGATACAAGCAAAATAGAACCATATTCTATCTTGCAGGTTTCCATGTTTCCTGTCCACTTTATGGGATATAACAACAACAAAAAACCCTACTTTTCTAATACATCAATTTTATAATTACTTTAAAACTGATCTCATCATTTCTTTACAGTTACCTATTAGACACCAAGCTTCTAAATACTGCAGAGAAAAATCTTTGGCCAAGGATCTACTGAAAAGATTCTTTGACATACTTGGAGGCCACACACTACACTAAAAATGGAGAAAAAGTAATGTTTCAGAAAGCAGTTATTTTGCCCTTACAACTCGGAGTAAGTAGTTCCAGTCTATCCAAGCTCTGATTCTGTAGCAATCATCTCTCTTTTGTGTGTGTGTTTTTTTAATGTGTGTGATGTATGTATGTATTTTTTTTTTTTTTTTTTAAAGATTTATTTATTTATTTTATGTATAGTGTTCTGTCTGCACATATCCCTGCAAGCCAGAAGAGGGCGCCAGATCTCATTACAGATGGTTGTGAGCCACCATGTGGTTGCTGGGAATTGAACTCAGGATCTTTGGAAGAACAAGCAGCGCTCTTAATCTCTGAGCCATCTCTCCAGCCCATATGTATGTATTTTTGAAATAACATTTACTGCCAGGTAAGTCTTTAACCCCAGCACTTGGGAGACAGAGGCAGGAGGATCTTTGTGAGCTTGAGGCCAGCCTGGGCTACATAGCAAGTTCTAATAAAATAAAATAAAGTTGCATTTATTCTGTGTGTGTGTGTGTGTGTGTGTGTGTGTGTGTGTGTGTGTGTGCGTGCATCAGAGTACATGTGTAGTGGTCAGAGGAAAAGTTGCTCTCTGTGTGTGTGTGTGTGTGTGTGTGTGTGTGTGCGTGCATCAGAGTACATGTGTAGTGGTCAGAGGAAAAGTTGCTCTCTCTCTGTGTGTATGTGTGTGTGTGTGTGTGTGTGTGTGTGTGTGTGTGTGTGTGCATCAGAGAACATGTGTAGTGGTCAGAGGAAAAGTTGCTCTCTCTCTGTGTGTATGTGTGTGTGTGTGTGTGTGTGTGTGTGTGTGCGTGCATCAGAGAACATGTGTAGTGGTCAGAGGAAAAGTTGCTCTCTGTGTGTGTGTGTGTGTGTGTGTGTGTGTGTGTGTGTGTGTGTGTGTGCATCAGAGAACATGTGTAGTGGTCAGAGGAAAAGGTGAAGGAGTAAATTCTCTCCTCCCACTATGTGGGTCTCGGGGATCAAACCCAAGCGATCAGACTTGGCAGCAAGTGTCTAACCTGCTGAACTATCTCACTGGCCTGTTTAGTTTTTGAGACAGGGCTCTCATTGAACCTGGAGCTCGCTGATTTAGCCAGACTGGCCAGCCAGTAAGTTCCAGGGATCCATCAGTTTCTCCGTTCTCTCACCTCCAGCCAGTGCGGGGTTCCAGATGTCTGGCTCTTTCATGGCTTTGGGGATCTAAACTGAGGTCCTCATGTTTGAAAGCAGGCTTTTAACTAGCTGAGCCATCTCCCCAGCCCCCAATCACCTCTTTCTCTAAGTTTTTTAAAAAACCTTTTAAAAGATTTATTTATTTTATGTGTTTGAGTGTTCTATCTGCATGTATGTGCACTGTGTGTGCCCGGTGCCTACTGAGGTCACAAGAGGACATCAGATCCCTTATAGCTGGAGTTACAGACATCTATGAACCACCATGTAGGTGCTGGGACTGAACCTGGGTCCTCTGCCAAGAGCAAGTGCTCTAACTGCTGAGCCATCTCCCCAATCACTTCTTTTGACCAAGGAGTTATTTCAATCAACAGATGTATTCCTAAGTCTGTTTTTTACCACAGAATACTAATACTAGATAACACATCAATTTTTAGAGACTATGGGTTGGAAGGGTGAATGCACTTATCAAAACCAACAGGACTGAGCCGGGCAGTGGTGGTGCAGGCCTTTAATCCCAGTACTCAGGAGGCAGAGACAGGCGGATCTCTGTGAGTTCAAGGCCAGCATGGTCTACAGAGCGAGATCCAGGACAGGCACCAAAACTACTCATAGAAACACTATCTTGAAAAACAAAAAACAAAAAAACAAAAAACAAAAGAAAGAAAGAATAAAACCAACAGGACTGTACATATAAGTGTACATTTTAGTGTATACAACATTTACTTAAAAAAACAAAAACTGGCCGGGCGGTGGTGGCGCACGCCTTTAATCCCAGCACTCGGGAGGCAGAGCCAGGCGGATCTCTGTGAGTTCGAGGCCAGCCTGGACTACCAAGTGAGTCCCAGGAAAGGCGCAAAGCTACACAGAGAAACCCTGTCTCGAAAAACCAAAAAAAAAAAAAAAAAAAAAAAAAAAAAAAAAAAAAAAAAAAGAAAAAATACTCTCTGGCTTCTGAACACCTTGCTTTTTCAAAACTCTAACATGCTTCTTCCTTCGTTTGTTTGTCTGTCTGTTTGTTTTTTCAAAACAGGTTTTCTCAAACTGCCCTGGCTGTCCTGGAACTCGATTTGTAGACCAGGCTGACCTTAGACTCACAGAGATCCTCCTACCTCTGCCTCCCGAGTGCTGAGATTAAAGGCGTGTGCCACCACTGTCTGGTTAATATGCTTCTTTTTAAATAATGAAGGCAATGTTGAGTCCTGTGGAATGCATGCTTAGAACAGTGTTGTGAGGCTAGGACCAAGATTCATCTTACATTAACCTGTTTTTCGGTTTTGCTTTGTTTTGAGACAGGATCTCACTATGTAGCCATGACTGGCCTGGAACTCACAGAGATCCACCTACCTCTGCTTTCTGGATGCTGGCATTAAAGGGATATGGTAGGGCTGACTTCTCTCTTAAGAGACAGTATAAAGCTGAGTGTTATGTGCCTGTAATTGCAGCACTTCAGTATCTTTTCCCCAAAGACTTACCGCCAGCAAGAAGGAATACATGACGGGAGAAGAGAGACATGCAGAGTCACTCAGAAATGGCTTCAGCTTCCTCTGCAGGTCGGACAGCTCCCATGCCTGTTAGAAGCTGTGCTACTGTCTACACTGATTCCCATGAGCAGAATTTTTACTCATTTACCTGGACAGAAAGGTCTTTGGATTTCTCTCTCTGATATCCATGGCTCCTCTCCTTGCTCCAATTTGAAGATCACCTCTGGCTTGGTCACTTGACACCCTGCTCATGGGTAAATACACAAGATTTGGGTGTTTGAGCAAGAAGACAAAGAGCCTTCCTATAAGTCAGTACTAGTCTTTGATCCTCAGGAACTCTGAAGAGAAGAAAAGGCACAGCTTAAGGAGTTATGCTAGCAAAGTCCCCTTTTCTACGTCTTTAAAATGATCTTTCAGGCTCAAACCCCTGGAAAGTTGACTCCCCAAAGCACAGGCACCAAGCCCTGGACTTCCTCTCAGTTACCTAGGCTGCATGCACCAAACCTTAGCAACTGAAGAAGGAAAATTCGGCAACATGTGAGACAGCGGGGGACGTTGTCCCTCCTTACCAAGAGAAACCAGGTGGCTGTAGTTCTCCAGCATCACATCCCTGTATAAGATCCTCTGCGCAGGGTCTACGTGGTACCATTCTTCTTGGGTGAAGTCCACAGCCACATCTTTGAATGTCACTGACTCCTGTGGGATCACAATCCCGCTCAAGTAGGAATCAACTCCATGAATGCTCCTCTCAAAGTCTGGGAACTGACCTTGGGATCATGTGTTTGCTGCTCAAAGGGGAAATGTTTGGTTTTATAGGCTGATTTTAAAGCATCTAGTCTATCTAACAGGAAAGTCAAAGGGGAAATTGATCCCACAATCCTGCATATACTATTCTGTCTGTTTTTTCCTCTCCCACCTTTCTCCAGGGTCTCATGTAGCCTGGGCTGCCTCAAATTCAATAGGTGGCTGAGGGTGGTCCTGAATTCCTGATGCTTTTGCCTTTGCCTCCCATGGGCTAGGACTGCAGGCCTACACTACCATGCTCAGCTCACAACTTGCATTTTCATTCATCTGTCTTGCTGCTTTCCTTCCAAACTAAACCCTTTACAGTTGCTCATTCCTCACTGCTTTCTTTCCTTGCTTTGTTACAAATTCAAACATGGAGATACAGGAGTGAAAAAAAAATGACAGCCTTCACCCTCCTAGTCCTCTTTATCCCCCGATACAATCATTCTCAACAGTTGGTGTGTATACTTAGAAGTCTTCTGTCCATGTTTTACACATATACTACAGGTATGCTTTATGAAACATCACACATATTGCTCTACAAATTGCTTTAATTTACTAACTTTTAAAAAATATTTGTTTATTTATGTGTGTGTATCTGAGGGTATGTATGGAGGAGCCCATGGAAGTCAGGAGAGGGCATCAAAGCCCCTGGAACTGTGTTATAGGCAGTTGTGAGCAGCCTTGTGGGTTTTGGAAACTGAACCTGGGTCTTCTGCAAGAGCAGGAAGTGCTCTTAACTGATGAACCGTTTCTCCAGGCCCTACTCATTTACTAATTTTGAGACAATCTCGTGTATCCCAGGCTGATCTCAAACTCACTATGTGGTCAAGGTTGAACCACAAATTCTTCTGTTTCTACTTCCCAAAAGTAGGACTACAGGCATGCACCACTACATCTAGTTTCTGTGGTGCTGGAATGGAAGCCAGGGCTTGGTGCATGCTAGGTAAGCATTCTACCAACTGCCTGAAACCAACAGCATCCCACTGTACTATAAATTCAAGCATCCTCCCCCAAACACTACTCTGCAGGCCAAAGCTACACCCAATCTTGCTGGTCCTTGAGGATATCAAGCTTGTATAATAACCATAAGATAGATGATAGACTTCAAAGCCTCAGTATTATAATGAGGCTGAATATCTCATTAGTAATTTAAAGATACTGATTATAAATAGAAGTGATAATATTCTGGATATACTGGGTTAAATCATAGGCATGACTTTAGATTAAATTTTACCTTAATTTTACATCATGGCTAAATGACAACATGTTTCTTTTGGATGATTCTAAGAGACATGTACATTCTTGCGCTCACAGATAAGCACTAGGGGAACCAGGAATGTTAAATACTCAGGGCTGATGCTGGGCAGTGGTGACACATGCCTTTAATTCCTGCACTTGGGAGGCAGAGGCAGGCGGATCTCTGAGTTCGAGGCCAGCCTGGTCTACAGAATGAGTTCCAGGACAGCCAGGGCTACACAGAGAAACCCTTTCTCCAAAAACAAAACACCAAAAAACCAAAAACATGCAGGGCTGTCTCTTCCAAAGGAGAGATGTATAACTATTTTTCCACCCAAAAGGCTGAGAGCAGATGTGGTCAACAGCTTGGTGAATGGATCCTCCCCCCGAACTTTATCAGAGCTTGTTTCTCTCAGTCAATCTAAAGCTTGCTATCTTCCTCCAGACACATCCTGAACCTGTTTCCTCAGTTAATATAAGGACCTATCTTTATGGAAGATGTCACTTGTACTTTACAAAGAGTTTTGATGTAGTCATGTCTTCAGCTTTGTTATGTACACAGGTTTGAGTTAATTATCACCAAGAAATTTTTTCACCAATTTGTGCTGTGCTTACATATGCCTAAAATAAGCTACTCAGGGTCAGACTCTTGAAGTTTGAACCAACACCAACTACTGTGTTAGTATTCTGACCTGCCCCTTAGCGACCTGCCCAGCACCCTGATGTTAAGTCCCCTTTAAAAAAGAAAACTCCCCCTCCCCCCATTCCCATGAGGCGTGCAACCTCACCCCCTCTCTCCCCACTTCTCTCACTCCCTCTTTCCTCATCTTTCTATCTTTCTCTTATAATAAACTCATTTCCATGTGGATGCAGTGCCGGGGGTGGTGGTGGTGATGAGTGACTGTCCATGTGCCGCAGCCCACCCCGAATCTACCCAGCATGTTTCCCTCACCCACGGGGCACCTTGGTCCGGCCAGCCAGGGCCCCTGCAAGCAGCATCATTACATACTGAGTTGCACTGAACTGAACTGCCTTTTTCTGCCTCTTATGCATCAACAATCTGCTGGCCAACTGCTGTGTTTGCAAAGACACAGACAGATGATGATTTTCTACATTATCTAGATCTCTACTTCCTACTGTTCTCTCTAGGTTACTGAATCACCTTCTCTCAAACTTTGCCTCCTGTCACATGCCTCCTGCTTCTGTCACATGGACTCCTTGCCTTTTAACTTGACTCTCTTGTGTCTCTTTGCTTTGTACATCCTTACCATAATGCACTGCCTGCCCCCAGCTCTACAGAAAAGACTCCTAGCCATCATCCTAGAACTTGCTCAATGTTCCTTCCCAAGTTCATTATCCACAGGTCTTCCCAGACCATGTTCAGTTTATGAAGTGATGCTAACCCAGGGTTTGTACATGCATTCTACCAACTGAACTATATTTTTGGACCCTAAAAACGGATTTTATAATGTCTTTATAAAAAGACATTATTAGAATTTTTTACAGATTTATTTATTATGTACACAGTGTTCTGTCTGCATGTACGCCTGCATGTGAGAAGAGGGTACCAGATCTCATTATAGATGATTGTGAGCCACCATGTGGTGGCTGGGAATCGAACTCAGGTCCTCTGGAAGAGCAGCCAGTGCTCTTAACCTCTGAGCCATCTCTTCAGCCCCCATTATTAGCATTTTTAATCTAGACTGAACTTGATTATATGATACATATAGCAACTACAATTTATAGTTTACTGTTAATTTTAAAATTATTTTATTTGGCTGGGCAGTGGTGGTGAACACCTTTAATCCCAGCACTTGGGAGGCAGAGGCAGGTGGAGCTCTGTGAGTTTGAGAACAGCCTGGTCTACAGAGCTAGTTCTAGGACAACCAAAGCTACACAAAGAAACACTGTCTCAAAAACAAACAAACAAACAAACAAACAAAACCAACCAAACAAAAAACCTGAGAGGATGACAGGGTTGCATCCATCGTAGAGAGGGGACAGCAGGCTTTTGGACAAACTATTCTAAGAACCCACCAGAGGATGTGCTGCCCCTCCACCTCTAGACCTAGACAATTAGGAGCGGCACAAAAAACAAGTTCCAGACATTTCCTGCCATAACCTAAAGGATATGATATAACATAACTGGCATAATAAACAAAGCACCTAATATATCTTGTGAGATGTTTTCTGCTGCTATAGATTGTATACCATAGCTGTCAGAGGGAATGACTTTCCTGCAGATAAAAATGGGATATCTAACTATCAGTGGATAGGTCTGCTGAAAAAAAAAATAGATACAATAAAATATATTGCTAGAGGATATGGCAATTTCCTTGCAGCTGCAACTCTCCAATCAGTTCAAACCAAGCATCTCTAACTTGAAGTAAGCACTTCAAGCACTGAGCTTCTAACTATAGAGCTGGAATTCCCCCAGATCCCCTACCCTAACCATTGTAGAAACCCTGCTTGATTGCTACTCAGGGTCTCCCTGCTCAGCTGCTGCATCAGATAGACAGAGAGACCCAGGTTAACTCGTAACAATAAAAAGACTCTTTGCTTTTGCATCAGATTGGGTCTTTTGGTGGGCTTTGGGGGACTCTGGGTATAAAAAAACAACAAAACAAAAAAAATTATTCTATTATGTGTCTGTGTGTGGGTATTATGAAGAACTAACATAGATAGCTCAATAAAGGCCCATATTATATTCCCCCAAACCTTCCCCTTTGCAACAATTATCCAATCTTGTCAGACTATGAAATCAAACTTCAATTAATGGGATGAGTTGCAGTGGGCACCTACGTAAGGAATGAGACAGAAGCCATCTTGGCAAATTGTGCTTGTTAGCTTTGTTTGGGATTGAGAGCATCATTTTTGGAAAGTACACTGCCTTGCCAAGCTTCTTTCACCTTGTGTGATCCTTCGTTTCTCAGTTCCTTGAGCTGCGATTTTTCTTTCCCCCTCTCCTCTATTTCTAATAGTATGGTCACATGAATGCAGGTACCCAAGCCAGAGACATCCCACCCCCTTGGAATGAGATTACAGGGTGGTTGTGAGCTCGCTGGCATGGGTGTTGGGAACTGATCTGTTCTCTGCAACAGCAATGTGTGCTTTTACAGTATGTGCTCACAACTGGTGAGCCATCTTTCCAGCCTATCTTTATTTTCCCCGGAGGTGCTGGGAACTGAACCTAGGACCTCACATATGCTAGGCAAGCGATCTCAGCTATATACCTAGTTCTTACCCTTAATTCTAAAAAGAGTGCAAATCAGTCTGGTGTTTGTTTGTTTGTTTTTTGTTTTTCAAGACAAGGTTTCTCTATATAAGAGCACTGGCTGTCCTGGAACTCGATTTATGGACCAGGCTGGCCTTGAACTCACAGAGATCTGCCTGCCTCTGCCTCCCGAGTGCTGGGATTAAGGGCCTGAGCCATCATGCCCAGCACAAATCAACCTCTTATTAATTAACCTGAAGCTTGGAATACTAAGGGTGGGCACTATTATACATCTGTTAAAGAAAAAAAGAAAGAGGAGCAATAGGGGCAAGAAAAACTCGGAGCTAGTCGGTCCAGGTTTAGCTGTGATGGCAGTCTCAAGACTCAGCACATCCAACCCTCACCGGCCTCTTCCTCTGACCAGGGCTTGTCTGCTCCCCCTACTGTCTCTTTTATGGCCAGAGGATGGGAAGCAGGGACGTCTGGCCTCACTTTCTACTTACTCTCTTAATTCCTCACTTAAGAGTTCAAAGAACCCGCACAGCAATGAAGACTCACTGTCCACAATCCCAATGCAGTCAATTCCTCACAAGATCGCACTTCCCTGGTCCCCTCTCGTTAACCAAACAGCTCCATCGTTTCAGGAATCCCGCTCCAGTCAGGTCTGGGCACTCTGAGAGATGTTTTCCCTAGACTAGGAGACTCCAAGCCATCAAAACTAAGAATTTCCAGAACAATAACTGTCCCGTACACGTCCCCGGGGTCTCGCAGGGTGGGATGCTCCGGGCGGTGAAGAGGGCTCGGCTCACCTGGGGCGTGGCCGTCGGAGGCCTCGGGGCCATTCCTGCCTCAGGGTGTGCTGGCTACGGTCCCGGGCTGAGGAGAGAGGACAGGATCCACTCACCCGCTACCCCGCGGCCCCACCCCTCCAGCCCAAACGGCGGGGAGGAGCCCGCCTCCGCCTGCTGCTCCCCCAAGGCCAAATGAAAGGCCCCGCCGCCTCCGGCCAGTCCCTCCGGCCACGCCCAGTCCGCCCGCAGGATGATGGGCGAGGCCAGGAGGCCAGCCTCCTACCCACGGCACCCGGAATCACCGCCTCCGGGGCTTCGGGATCCGCGACCTCGGGTCCGCCCCTCTAGCGCCCGCTGCAGTCTCTGTTCTCCGCCGTGCTGTCCTGCGTTAGGGGCCAGCTTCGCAAACCGGCCTCCGCCACAACAGGGCTGGACAATGGCCACAGCGGCGGGCGCAGAACCTCAAGTGCGCCTGCGCACACGGAGCCTCGCGCCCGCCCAGGAACTACAATTCCTGGTTTATCCTTGCGCGCTCTCCCTGCAGAGGTGCTCTGCTCCCTAGTGGGCGCTGTACTAAGAGCTCGAGAAAGCGGGCAGTGTAGGTTCAAAGTGTTCCTTTTGAGTGTGTGTGTTGACTCTTCCGGAGCTGCTAGAATTTCGCCTCATCCGTCTTTCTCCCAGATCATCCCACTTCTTTTTTTTCTTTCTTGTTTGTTTTGTTTTTGGAGACGGGGTTTCTCTGTGCAGCCCTGGCTGTCCTGGAACTCACTCTGTAGACCAAGCTATCCTGGAACTCACAGAGATCCTCCTGCCTCTGCCTTCGGAGTGCTAGGATTAAAGGTGTTTACCACCACTTCCGGCCCGCACTTCTTTTTTTTTCAAAGATCTTGATTGAGGTATAATTTCTAGACCATAACATCATAAAGATGAACTCTTTTTTGTAAGGCACACACCTATAATCAATCCTCTAGCACCCAACTGGCTGGAGGATCCAGCGTTCAAGGGCATCCTCAACTGTGGTTCAAGGCCAGCCTGAGCTACAACAGACTCAGTCTTAAAAGGCCAAAATAAAGAAATAACTAACACATGAATGAAGTGTACAATTCAACAAATTTTAGTACATGTAGAGAATTACACAACCATCAATCTAGTCTCCTATTTGAACATTTTTATCAGCCACAAAAGAAAAACTATGCACATTAATAACCATTCCCTAGTCCTACTCCCACTACCTCTCAATCCTGGGTAACCTCTGACCTGTGTTACTTCTGTAACCATTCTGCCTCTTCTGAAGGCCTCTCCACCAACCCAAATTAAACCGAATCAGACCGAATTAATCACCGGGGTAAAGTGCTCCCGGGTAATTCCCAGCCCCTCAGAGCAGAGACAGGGACAAGAGACCTGAAGAACCACTGTCTGTTTTCGGGAATGCAGCTTATATCCCCTGTGGGAGTGGTCTTGCGCCTCTCTGGGAGAGGAGCTGTGTTTGGCGGGCTTTGAAGGGGCAGGTTTAGGGAAAGAGATAAGGGAGGGAAGTTGAGGTGGATCTTCCACCAGAACATTCCAGACTCTTTGGATATAGGGATGCCAGGATGCCAGGGGTTGAGGTGGAACTCCCACTCAAACACTGATATTTCCTATGAATGGGATTAGGCAGCATGGAGTTTTATGATTGGCTTCTTTCAATTATCAAAGTGGTTTTGAGTTCATTCACATTATAGAACTTATCCATATTTCATTCTTATTTTATGCTTAATGGGAGATTTGACTGAGCATACCCTATTCATTCATCAGTTGGTGGCATTTGAGCTGTTTACATTGTGGGATTTTATGTTTTTATCTTAAAAGCAACATTACTGTGGGTGTGTACATACTTTTATGGGGTGCTGTTTCAGTGCTCTTGGGTAGATACTGAGAAGTAGAATTATGAATATTTGGTAGCACAATATTTAACATTTCAAGAAACTGAATTTATTTTCTAGTGTCTGTATCATATTACATTTTTTAAACTAACAGAATATAGATTCCAACATTCTTACCCACATCTGTTGCCATCTATCTTTTTTATTATAGCATTATGTGGATTTTGCAGGTGTGTGTGGGGGTGGAGAAAGTATAAACAACAACAAACCCCTTTGAAACTATGCAAATATTTTCCACACCAAACAACAGTAGCAGATATATAGCCACAGAGCAGAAGTTCAATAAATCCTAGATGATTCCTAAAATAGAACTTCAAGTAGAAGTACAGACACAGGGCCAAGAAGGCTCAGCTTGTCCCCGAGCACTGGCAGCAATGAAGTCCACACATAAGAGCACATCTGAGGGCCAGAGCACCTGCCTGGGGACCCCAGCACAAGGGGAGGGTTCAGAAGCGACATGGAGAGATCGAAGAGTGAAAATGTGCACCATTCTCTGGCACCCAAGGGCAAAACAAGAATAAAATGAGGTGGGGTGGAAGCACACCACACCAATAATCATCCCTGCACTTGGGAAGTGGAGGCAGGAGGATCAGAAGTTCAAGGCTATCCTCTGCTGCACAGTGAGTTGAGACCAGCTAGAGTTACTTACCGGAGACTCTGTCTCAAAACCAACCAAAGAAAGGACCAAAACACTCACCAAAACAAAGAGCTAAAACAATGCAAAAGACTTACTTTTCCCATGGTGGCTCATGCTTTTCATCCCAGCACTGGGAGTGTGTGTGTGTGTGTGTGTGTGTGTGTGTGTGTGTGTGTGTGTGTGTGTGTGCAGAGACATGACAATCTCTGTGAGAGTGTATGTGTGTGTGTATGCACGCATGTGTGTTGGGGAGCGGGAAGCTGGACAAACCTTGGGAGCTGGTTGTCTCTTCCACTTTCCATTGTAGGCAGAGTTTTCCGTTGGACTACCAGTCTGCTCTGTCCCACCAGCTGGTTCCCAAATAACCACACAAAGACTTAATATTATTTATAAATGCTTCGTCAATAGCTCAGGCTTGCTACTAACTAGCTCTTACAACTTTAATTAACCCATATACCTACCTATGTTTTACCACGTGGCTCGGTACCTTATCTCAGTACCACATGTTCATCTTCTGCTTCCTCTGTGTCTCCTTGAGACTCCTGTGACTCCGCCCTTCCTCTTTCCAGCATCCTCTCTCCTGGAAAATCCTGCCTAGCTATAGGCCAGTCAGCTTTTTATTAGCCCATGAGAGTAATAGCTATTCGTAGTGTATGAAAAAGATCTTTCCACAGCATCCCACCATTTGAATTCAGGTCTTCAGGCTTTCACTGCAAGCGCTTTTACCCACTGAACCATCTTTTTGGCTCTGTGAAGCTATTTCTACTCATTGTTTACAAGATTGAAAAAAAAAAACACTTCAATTTGTCCATTTTAAAGACTCTTGTTGGCTAGGTGTACTGGCATGCACCTTTAATCCCAGCACTTGGGAGGCAGAGGCAGGTGGGTCTCTGTGAGTTCAAAGCCAGCCTGGTGAGTTCCAGGACAGGCAGGACTACAAAGAGAGACTCTGTCTCAAAATCGATCAAACAAAACAAAACAAAAAAAGAAACAAACAAAACAGAGGCCATTGCTTATGGAGCCTGAAGTTGCAGTCGGAGAGGCACTAACTAGACCTTCAGTGGTGGAAGAGCCGTGTTCACGGAAAGCAATGGAAACACATGCTCAGGAATTTACTGCCTCTCCCTCCCAGTTACCTCAGCGGTCCTGCACAAGGTCTGGGGCACGGTGTCCAGCTGTAATTTATCCCAGTCAGTGGTTGCTGTTCCAGGGAAGGTCCCACACAGGTCCTGAGACCTAGGGTAAGCTTGTGAGCAGGGACTCAAGGTCCCAGCCCCTAAGACACATTCCATGCTCTCCGCTCACTGTCCAGGGATGGGTCGACAGAGCCAAGACCCTAGGATGCTACTAGCCACAGGCTTCTCCCAGGGCAAGTGTGGTTCTGCCCTGGCCCCTGGGGATAGGAATCAAGTCAGCGGTTATTGTCTGGTGGCAAGCTAAAGAATTAAGGGGTCGACGGAGGAGAGCATTGAACTGCACATTCACAGCACTACCAGACTTCTAGCCAATCAAAACCTCTCAGGGCTGTCTTTTTGACAATGGCCTCCGCATCTGCTTCAGATTCCTGAGTTTTGAGGGAGAAAAAACCGAACGTGCTAGGGATACGGAGGAAGGGCCCCAGGTATCCGGGTAGTGCTCCTCCTCACCCCCATGTAGTGCCCTGGTGGACAAGAGGCTACCCCTTTCTGCATCAAAGGAGGATGCTGGATTCAGTGTGACCTTGTCGCAGCTAGGGGGAGCCAAAGGAAGCGGTTAATAATGCTAGATGCCTTCCTCCGCACCCGCTGTAAGATAACACCCGGGACCATTAGATCCTCAATTGCACACTGGGTCAGCAGTGGGTTCAGCTTTCTGGTTGAGATCCCCTGTATAACACAAGAGCATCCAAGAAAACTGGTGAGAGGTGGTGATGGGACCTAGTGAATGTACCTTGACATGTACTTTGAAGAGGGAATCCCAGTTCCTGCTTGTTTTCCTGCACACAGCAAGACACCAAGTCATGAGAGCCCTGCTGAGGCGCTGCTTGGGGTCTGAATAACGTCAGTTTCCCTCATCTAAGGCCTAATTGAGGACATCTCATTGAGAGTCCACTCTGGGTTGCTCCAGGTGAAGCAAGTTCCCCGCTCCTTCACCCTCTCCCCCGTGGTTTAAACTAGCTTGAACTCAGTATATAACTCAGGGTGTCCTCAAACTCTGGCGATACTCCTGCCTTTGCCTTGATAGCAATGGGATGACAGGAGAGAGCCACACCTGACTCCAGTTACGACCAAGAGGTTAGTGTTCTTCAGACCGCTGGCCTCGATCGCCATCTGCTGGTCACTATGACACACACCTTACTGTTCTAAAGTTTCAGGCAAGCATACTTTGACAAGTTACATTATCTTAACTTGAATTTAAGAACCTATGAGAATACACTGGGGTTATAGCTCGGTGATAGAGCCCTTGCCTCACACGCATTTTGCCCTAGGTTCAATCCCTGGTGTGTGTGTGTGTGTGTGTGTGTGGGATTAAGATGGATAGATATTCTATCTACATTGTATGTGTTAAAAATTAGTTTCAGAGACTATAAGAATATAAGAAGCTTACCAAACTACCAAATGCCACATCTGGAATCCAAATGATTTATCTCCCAGTGCTGGATACTTTCCCATGTGACAAATGAGTCCCTGGCCTACCTACCTGCCTAGGTTTAGCACATTTTCCCCAGGGAAGACTCTCATGTCCCTCTGCACATCACCCACCAATTTTCCAAGAAGAGCTGGGCTGGTGCTGAGATCAGTCTGCTTACTGACACAATGCAGGGCGTCACAATGATGTTAGGCTGTCAACACATTCCTTATTCTCAATAGATTCAAGGATCAAGTTTTATTAATTAACATACATCTTTGAGACCCAGTCTCTGAAAAACGGGAAATTAATGGG